ATANACTATATAGTATATAATANAAACTAATAATATTATTATAATACATACATATATATATATATATATATATATATATATATACATATACATATATACACACACACACACACACATATATATATATACATACATACATACTTACATACATACATCCATACATATATACATACATACTAACATACATACATACATACATATATACATACTCACATACATACAAACATGCATACATACATACATACAGATATAGGAATAGTTTAATAACAACCTAAGTACCTTTTTCTCCTGCATCCTCAGCGCCATCTGCCCCCTGCTGCATGGGATGTTCTTGGTCTATAATCACTCGCATCCTAGCTGTGTGCTCGTTAATGCCAGTCTGAAACGGTTCTTTGGTATGGGACACATAACTGAACAACGCTGGCAACTGCAGAGAGTGAGTACGTGTACACTCATATGTTAGTGCGAAGTTGTTTGTGGTCTCTCTCTCTCTCTCTCTGTGAGTGTGTGGTATAGGTATGTGAGTGTATGTGTGCTTATTTGTCTATGTATGTGGGTTTATACATGTGTAAGTGTTAAGTGTGAGTGTATGCGTACGGGTATGTTCGTGTGTATGAGTATGTGAACGTGAATGTGTATGTGCATGTGTATGTGCATGTGCATGTGCATGTGCATGTGCATGTGCATGCTATATACACACACACACACACACATATATATATATACATATACATATATACATACGTACATACATACATACATACATACATACATACATACATATATATATATATAATAAAGAAATGTGTACCGCCAACAGACGTACCGAACTTTCGCTAGGCACCGTCACAGGCTGAGGTTTGACTACAGATTTAACCGATGAGTCCTCAAATAAAAGAGGCAAACCAGTCCTATTCACCACCCAATAGGGACAGTATATGCGCATGTTTCGTACGCCTGTGTGGGAAAAGTAAAACAGAAGTGAGTATGTACTACGTATATATAGGCAGATATATGGCGACTGAACATATTATGTACATACATGGACCTATATAAACTGAACTTGTTATGTACATACATAGACCAATATAAACTTGTTATGTATATACAGAGACAGAATATGTAGACTGAACATACTATGTACATAAATAAATATATATATCGACTGTACTTGTTATGTACATACACTGACAGATATATATATACTGAACATACTATGTACATACACATACCTAAATATACACACTGCACACACTCCCGCCACACACACTGCACACACACACACCACACAAACACCCCAACTAAGTCTCAGACACACCACATACCATGGTCAAGTGTGCATTGTAGTACAAAATTAATCACCGCCCCATTGGCGTCTGTGGCCTTTAACCGAATGATCTCAGTGTCAATTCGATCACTGGCACCTCCTCCTGGGCCGTCCGTCAGCGCTTGTCGCATGTGAGAGGGTATGGCGGGGATACGCGCTTGTTTGATCTGTGTA